CCACTAAGAAAGTCGAACGGCCTCTGCTCGGACGGTGACTCCGGCCGTAACCATCCCGACGCGGCCGACCGCGTCCTCGAACGCCGCGCCGAGCCACGACGACCGACCCGACGACCGCCGACCGGATGCGCTGATCGTCGGTGCCCCTGCGACCCGATAGCGCGACTCGCATCCAGGCTCGACGAACCCGAACGACGCGACCCCGACGAGCCCTTCCTCGACCACGACGACTCCGAAACGGTAAAGCGACCCGCGCGCGAACTCCCTCAGCGGACCGACCAGACGCGCGACCGCCCCCCCGCAGAGCTGATAGCGACGTCTCGTATCCGCGACCGAACCCCCGACGACTGAGTCCGACGACCGTCGGCGAGCCGACGATACCGTCACCTCCGCACTTGCGACCGAACCGCGACTGAGCTGAGTCTGTGGAAAACGACGACGACGTCCGCGAAAACGAAAGCTTTTACGCCACGACTGACGAAGAAGCTTGCGCCCGGCCGACCGGCCCCGGTACCCGAGTACGAACCGCGAAGACGCGAACGCGCCCGAAGAACGACCGATCGCGGACGATGCCGAGCGGAAAACGTCGAAGCTTGGCCGCGAACGACGACCGCGACGATACCGACCGAATAACGAAACGAAACGACCGACGAAACCGAAGAGACGACCGAAACCCGACCGAACACGACCGTCTGGAACGAAGACCGCCCGACCCCGGAGCGACGACCGAAGCCACGAAACCCGAAGCCGAACGACCGGACCGAACCGAGCTCCGCGCCGACGGCAGATCCCCGCCGAGCCGCGCGATAAACCGCGAAAGCCGAAAGCGACAAGCGACGCCCGGACCGGCGAGAAGCTAGGGCCGACCGGCGACGCGGCGCCGGTCCGCCCGAACGACGACCCGAAACGGCCGAAAGCTCCGTGGACTAGACCGCTCGACTCGCGAGCCCGTCGCCCCGACCGAGACCGAACGAAGAACGCCGACGACGATCGACCGTAACTTGGTTGCGCCATGCGCGCTCCCCCCTGCCGTAAGCTTGAGCCTGCCCGAGAATACCCCGACGAATTCGGAAGGGGACCGCCGTTAGTGGTTCGGCTCTCCGGGGATCGCCGGCTCGACAGGCTTCGTGAGAAGCGTCCCCGGACGGACACGCTCGCCGTGTCGACCGACGCCGGGCGTGCCGACCCGACGAACCCCTCCGACGAACGGCGCGCGCTTCGACCGCGGCGGAAGTTGGATAGACTGAAGACGTAGCCGGACGACGGAAGCGACGAAAGACGACCGAATGCGCAAAGAAACCGCGGCGACGGTCGCCGGAAAGCTTGCGTCGCGCCTGGGAAAAGCTCGCGAACGGAACGAAAAATCCGCGCGAGACCTGGTGAAAAAGCTGCCCTGTAGAACGACGAGACGAAAAGACGAGAAGACCCCGGGAAAACGAAAGCGGAACCGGACGACCGAGACGAAACCGACGGAAGTTATAAGCTTCCCGCGACGAGACGAAAGCTGCGAAAACGACGAATCCGAAAGCGAAGCGATCCCTGAGACCCGACGACCGCCTGGACCGCGCCTGAATCGATGAAGCTGCGAACCGAGCGGATCCGAAACCGTGGGGAAATGCGCGATCTCGAAAAACGACCCGATCACGACCGCAGATAGTAAGCTCTGGACGCTAGGAAGCTTGGGTATTAAAGTATAGAGCTTTCACAGTTCGGTACGGACGAATAAACCGAAGGCGAACCCGAAGCTCGACTGTTGCTTGGAAAATGAAGATACTGTCTACTCCAAGTTGATTTGCGGTGAACACCGCGTTGCATCGTACCTTCAGCCCGTCTTCTAATAAGTATGTCCAAATACGCCAGGCAATTATGTTGTTCCACTTCATGGGATACCAACAGATTAGGGTGAATTAAATTCAGGATGGAGGGCAGCCGGGTAAAATGTACTCCGCTGGTGACGACTAAAATGTCATCCACATATCGTCTGTACAATTTCGCTTGTATAGTTAGCGCCAGACTACCTACTGCACCTAGAACTGGGGTTCTGTGCTGCACTCTGCGGATCCTGTTTACCAGCCTGTACAGCATCGTAGGATTAATGCGGAATTCCGTGGTGCTGGAGTTTGTCTTCGAGAATCAAGTAGACAAATGGAATTCGCAGAGTTAGGTAAGCACCCCAGGCCTTCACGCCTGGACAAGGTTTATAAGCACCAGGCCGAATTCCTTAATGCCATGCCTTTTCGGGTCCGGCTCCTCAGCAAAGACTTCAGCTAGTTCGATCAAGAGACGTTTGTTGCCGTCACATTTGCTACTAACCCGGTGAACTGGATGACAAATACCTTCCAGGCGACATCGGGAGACATCTCGGCTAGGAATGACCAGTTGGATGCCTGAACGAAGTCAGACAGTCTGCCGTAATGTGTGACGAGGTAAAGTTCCTCGTTGTTTTCACAGGTGTATTCCAGATAACAGATGTAACGGAAGATCAGCGTCTCATAATAGGTGCCCCAGCGATCATTAGTTTCCCGTTGGTGAGCACAAGGCCTAAGACAGATGGATCACCGCTAGTTCTGAATCTCGCGGGGTCGGTCATGTTGGTGTACAGCGGTACATCGACGATTACTTCTCGCAAGTCAGCTTTGACTTGTTCGCTGAGCGAAGCTTGGACTACATTTATGTGCATATTGAACTCCCCTACCGAAGGAACGTGGACGCACGGCGCTGCCAAGATTCGCTTTAAAGCAGACGGTAGGCGGTGATCCATTTTCAGGGTGAACATAGGATGGCGGTAAACTTATGCAAGTAAACATCACCACGTCTCAGATATCGACGGTACCAAAGAGTATAGACAACTTGCGCTTCAATAGCGTCGGTAACATCGATATGTGGGTAGATCGGTAATACAGGAAAACGCCGCCTCCTCTGTTTATTTGCTTGATTCTTAGGAGACACATGAAGTAAAGGGTTACCTCAGCATTAGTGTTCTCCATATTCAGCCCTGCTCCGGTTATCATGATTATGTCCAAAGCAGTAGATCTGACGAGCACAGAGCTTAGGCAGTTCATTCATAAGAATCTGCATGTTAGTATAGACGAAGAGGAAGGCTCCGAGGTTATCAGCGTATTTGTGGATGCGGCTTCTGGGTGAGGGTTAATGCCGATAGTTGTGGGCTCGGCTGTCGGCCGTTTTCTTGAATGGTAAAGAGTTGTGCAACGGCGATTCCGGGTTGTTTTCTAAAGTCCTCAGCTTCAGTAGCTGGCTGAATACCTAGCGATACGTCAGCTGTTGGAGTGTGTTGATTGTGCCTCGGTCTTGAGCAACATACTGAGCAGATCACAAGAGAACTGGTCGGTTTGTGGCCTGGTACCCATCGACTGCATAGTTATTTCGGGTCGGAAATATTTAGCATTTTGAGGCGCATATCGGTTGTCTATCCACAATGGGTTTATTCTCAGAGTTGTTCTTATCCCTCGGGGATCATTCCCTTTATTACTGGGCGACATTGTTAACGTCCAGAGCGAATTGGCTATCACGTTTCGGAGTGTGAGTACTTCACGGATGAAGCGCAACCAAAAGGCAATGACAGTTATATGTTCAAACGTCCCATAACCCCCTAGCAAATCGCTAAAAGGTAGACAAGCCGAGGAGCAAAACCGCTGGGCTGAAATAACCTGCGCACTCGGACTGAAAGTACTCCCAACTAGTCTTACAAGCGTTTCAAGAAATCCATCATCTCCACACGTAGGGGAACCTCGCTTACTGCGAGTGACGTTTAGCAACACGCGTGACCTGGAAGATGTTCTCGTAGTAAGCCAAATGCTAGTGAACTCTTCTGTTAGTGTCCCATTTTTCCTTACAGACCAAGAGCAGAAAGACTGAAGCGGAAATCGAACCCTAGTTCGTCACGTCAACATGATATGAAGAGAGTGGTACTGGTTAGTGGTGTGCCAGAATTGAAGCATGACGATAGCAGTGAACGACAGAAGCACGACATCGATGAATGGAGGTACATCGCAGAACCTTACGGCATGTAGTAGATCGTGGCTTTTAGCGTCACCCGTCTAATTGCTTCCACAAACTACCGAGGTATGGTGCCACGAATTTTGCAAGTTACCTTGGCTGCGCCCGAAATGGTGTCAGTGACAATTCAAGCATGGCATGGCAACAGGAAGCTAGGGTCACCAGAAGTACAGGTAAGACCATTCCTTCGATTAGTACAGATCTCAGATACAGATGAGCCAGCCTTAACTGTATCTAGCTCAAATCAACCAACTGTTCAAACAACCCTTTCCAAAACTTAAACAAACCGGCAATATTTGTGCCGATCAGTCACAGCGAACCGAGCTCCTCGTGCGTCAATAAATGCACTGCTGCTACACAAACACTCAGGGGTTGTACACTAAGCTCTCGGAATTGCGGCCTTGACATGAAACAACAACTTTGGACCTCATAGCAGTTACTGAAACCTGGGTCTAAAACGATGTACTTGATCCAGAGATTGAACTCACTGAGATGTCAATCATTCGAAATCATCGTCCATCTTGCGGCAGCAGTGTTGCTCTCTACTATCGAGATCATTTGAAATGTGAGGTTCTTACCGAAAATTCCCTTGTTAGTTCCGACGCACTATTTTGCAGACTGCACCCAGCAGGTCGAGGTGTTAGTTCACAGAAGACGAGTGCGCTTGCCTCTTAGCAGTTATCTATAGGTCTCCGAACTCATCAGCAGACAGCGATAACATTCTGTTAAACACCCTCCGCTATGCAGTTTCACAAAAGTACTCTCACTATCTGATAATGGGTGACTTTAATGTTCCTTCAATAGCATCAATATCCCCTAATGGGCCTTCATTTAAATCGAAACTCCTCGAATTCATGGATATGGCAGTTTTGTATAACCATGTGCATCGACCAACCAGACATCGCGGTTCAAACAAGCCATCACTCCTGGACTTAATCCTGACTAATGAAGAGTTGATGGTTGAGTCAGTAGCATACGATCCTCCACTGGGCCGTAGCGACCATTCAGTCCTAACATTTGGTTATATGTATTACGCAAGTATGGTTGTTAAAGAAGGAACGACCCAACGAACTATTACGGACTATTTTAAGCTGCACCACTTAACAGCAACCTTCGAGTGGGACCTACGGACACGTAGCTCCCCGAATGCCGCGTGGAATGAACTGAAAGACAAAATTAACTAGGTCATACAATCGGCATGGAAGGTTATAACATTACGAGCCTCGTGCTGGACCAATACAGACCAATACAGCGGAACACATAAATTGATCAACAGAATAGATGAAATCTGGAGGCAACATTCGCTAAGCCCATGTAATATCACATGGCGGAATTACGAAGCAATTAGAAACTACTGCACGTCGCCCATTAGAGTCGATCTGTAGGAATGGCAGGAGAACATGGTGCTGAAATTTACGAGTAACACCAAACTGCTATACAGATTTGTGAATGGCAAAAGAAAACTTAAACGCGGTACGCCAGCAATCAGGACGGTGAGTGGCCAAACAACTACTGCTGAGGATGCCGCGAACGCTCTACTCCTGCAGCTTGGCTCGGTAGCTACAAATACCAAAGAATCTTCGCCCTAACAACTCCCAATAAATGTCGTTGACTTATCCAGCGTCATCTGTACTCCAGCAGCTGTTGCAAGCAAATTACCTTCTCTCCGGGAGTACAGTGCCCCTGGAATCGACATGATCTGCCCAAATATACTGAAAACCCTTTCTCCCACCATTGCAGCACCACTTGCCAGCCTTTTGACAGGATCTGCTTAAATCCGATACACTGTCATCTGTGGAAAAATGGAAATATTACTCCAATAAACAAAGCAGGTAAGCGCTCGGATCCTGCCAACTAGCGACCTATTACACTCATTAATGTTTTATCAAAAGTGATGGAATCGGTACTCGCAGATGAACTGACTCGATACTTTGAAGGTCAACAAATAATTTCTAAAGCCCAACACGGTTTCAGACGCAGACGATCTTGTTTCACCAATTTGCTGATTACTCAGGACTCGTGGACCAGGGCGGCTGATGAACGAGTTCTCATAGATGGCTTTTTCTAAAGCATTCGACAGGGTCCATCACTTCTTTTTCCTCAAAAAGCTTGCTACCTACGGTATCAACGGTTCCCTGCTCACCTGGTTAGGAGACTACTTACACGACAGAGCAATCAAGGTAAGAGTAGCCGACGCTCGATCTGAAAGCCTGTGCGTCTCCAGTGGTGTACCACAAG